GAGCGGTAAGATATTGTAATTTGGTTACATAGACATAAAATACTGTGATTAGCTAAATAAATTGTAGAAAATAATTGAAACATACAAATTTTACATATTGATAACAGAGGATTATAAAATGTGAGGGTTGTGGGTATGGAATATACAATCGATTCAGTATTGGAAAATGCCAGTATATAGTTAAATATGGTTTTGCATGGGGAATTACTTAGGGGGACTGTGTTTACAATTTGATAATGCGGTCATATGCTCAGGGGATATAGACGCCTGGGTCTCGATTCAGTTTCAGTTCATGTCTTCTAATGTTGATCGCCTCATGTATCCTTCTGTTTCTTTGGTTGTGGTGGTTCACAGCCAACGTTTTAACTTTGGTCCAATCGACCCGGTGCCGTGGGTTGTCATTCAGATGTTCAACAACTGCAGATTGATTGGTGGGGGCTTACGACATGTTTTGCGCCCTTCAAGAAAGTGGTTTCAATATGTGCTTCCCTTTTCAATAATCTTCTGATTTGGTGGGAGATGTTGCCGTGGAAGGGTATGAAGATTCTAATTGGTGGTTTATCGTTTTTGGGTTTATCAGGTTTTGGTAGGTCGGATAGTGTGGCATTGATGAGCTTGTTGACCATTTGTTCTGGGTATCCGTTGTGCTTGGTGAATACTTCTTTTAAGTGTTGAATTTCTTCGGGAAGGGATTCAGGGTCACAAATATTCTTGGCTCTTTTGGTTAAAGTGGTGATAATGCCTGCTTTAGTACTGATGGGGTGATTAGATTGGTAGTGGATATATTGATCTGTATGTGTTGGTTTTCGGTACACTGAGGTGGTGATATTGGCGTTCTCTCTTCTTACCAGTACATCAAGAAATGGGAGACTGCTGTTGGTTTCATTTTCAATGGTAAACTTCATTCTTGGATGTTGGTTATTGAGGTGATTCAGGAGGACGATCGCATCTTCTTCTTCTTTTAGCATGACGAAGATGTCATCAACCCTTCTGAGCCAGACCAGCGGTTGAAAAGGAGCGGTTAAAATTGCTTCTTCCTCTAGTGATGTCATGTAGATTTCAGAAATCAGGGGGGATAATGGCCTTCCCATAGGAAATCCATGAATCTGTTCATAATAATTATCTCCCCATGTAAAGTAAGTGGATTCCAGACATTGCTTAATCAGAACGTTTACGGTCCTTTGCGTTAATAAGATGTGGAGGCCATCACAATAATAGACGTATGGTTTTATTGACATGTCATCTTTTCACCGCTGTGAGTTGTCGAAGGCCTGTTGTGAAATACCGACATTAAACACAGCGGTTTAAAAACTTGCCTCGGTGTAATGATTGATTTCCCTGATTTCCCGTACATGCGTTTGATGAATATAGGTGTGTTGTTGATATGTTACATGTTGCACTGACAGCTATCACTTGTGATAGAATACGTCAAACTCCAGTGTACTTTTAGCATGTATTTATTTATGTAATAAGTTTCTCTTGGGTGCGATATTGTGTGTGAGTTATTCGTATTTCACGTCCGCTTCCACCGAGGTGATATCGCAGACAATAACATATTATATAGTGAGATTATTTACAGGGTGATTAGTGAAAAAAGGATTAAAGGAATAATTAAATTTTATATATATGCACAGAAGACAACGAGTGACGGGACGAGACGTTATATAAGACGTTATGCAAGATGATTAAGTGATATTATTTTATCTCGACTTGTAAACCTATAACGGTAAATCTCTTTGATCTTTGGCCAGAACAACTCGCGGTCTGAAAGTCGAGGGCGGCTTTGGAAATATACAGGGAATTGGGGTTAATCTTCTGAAAGTTTTTCATTAAACCTGTAAGGGGTTATTCTTCTAGGGTTTTTTCCCATAAGAAAACATGAGATAAGGTTTTTCTTACAGAAATTGGGGAATATTCTGATTTTGCGTACATGTAAACATAAACGGTTTATAAGCAAGATAAAGTCCTCGACTTCTGTTATGCTGGGGAAGAAAGACTTCAGAAAAAAAAACCATCGACAGAAAAACCTCGGACTGGCGGCCTCGGTTTTTCTTTTTCTCGGGTTATTTTCTTCAGTATTTCTTTCCCGAGCATAACCTCAGTCTCGTGCTTTACCTGCACATAAATATCAAGGATCAAAAGATTTAAAAATGAAATGAAATGAAATGGAGTTTAACGTCCTACTGTTCTGCTCCTAACCTGGGCTAATGAAGACGGGCATACGCCATACAGTTTGCTATGAGGGAAATTTTGCCCGGACAGCGGCACTACGGCCTACTCTTATATCGAGTTCCAACTGCCAAGGGATCTTTTACGTGCACGCCAATGTGTACACGGTACCTCGGTTTTTCGTCCCATCCGAACGACTAAACAGCTTTCCTTGTCAGCCCCCTCCGTCCTGCATCACTGACAAGAGAGAATCACGCCGGAAATTCTGAATGAACTTTCTCGGCCAATGCAGGGATCGAACACCCGACCTCCAGGCTAGCGAGCTAGCGTCTTACCCACTTATCCACGTGATCCCCTCAAAGATTTAAGATGAGTGTGATTGCGGTGCACTTGATACTGAAACCTCTTGGGTTCCGACCCTTGCCATGTTATCTTCTCGAGGAGAGGATCCTAAGAGAGAGAGAGAGAGAGAGAGCGAGAGAGAGAGATATGGGTTTAACGTCCACTCGACACAAACTAGGTCATTTCGGGACTAACATATGGTTCAATTTTATTTGAATAATCCCCTTACGCGTAGGAGTCTTTAGCAGTCGGCGGAAACCGGAGGACTCGGAGAAAACCCACGAGGGTTTGACAGTATAAGGGAGAAAAACCAGTAACAGGCATCAATATCATTCCAAAACTTTAGAATATTTGAAGGACAATACTGCAGTCCTAGCTACTATCAAATAAAGAGCCCCGGGGAAGAACGATCTAAGTCACTTTTTCAACAAACCCCAGTTAATGGCACCATCTGGTAGAAAATTGTATAAGCTTTCTGTGAAACAATCAATTTCAAGTAAAAACGATTGGAGTCACATCGAACCAAGACCATTCTGAAATGGCCTTTCGGACAAATACAAGTCCATCGTGCCCTTTGTGACTGAAAAGTGGAAGTCAGTTGTTGTACTGGTAATTATGAATCGTATTAAACATCATTTTGAAGTTGTAATTACCCCCCCCCCACCCCTCTTTGATCTGTTCGAGTCAAGCATCCGTCCAAAAGTCTGTTTTGCCTTTTATGCGAAAAGACAAAAATCTTTCTTCCCCTCGACTCTTCAAATTTTCTCTAAAGTTACTTATGGGGTAAATACTTTGAGGAAATGACATGATATGGAAGTTTTAATTATATATTGTTGAGGAGGTAGAATGTATCAATGCCCAAAATCGACTTCTTATTTTGATAAGTCAGCGTCTTCGTTTATCTGCTGGCGTGAAATAAAACGGGGCAAGATCATTATCACCAAACATATTACATTCAAATTATTTCTGACCCCTGGGAGAGCACTTGTCTGTGTACAATGAATTTGTTGCAATACGTTAAAAAAGTTGAGTCGATAAGAGTCAGTTTGAAAAGTTTATTTTCATAAAAGAAATATCGATAAGGTAGGCATTGTCATATACTGAAATTGACTAACACATATTTGTACATTTTTGACTTGATCAAATGAAATTTGTAATTAGTATTCTTCAATAACTTCTCTCCTGTCCAGGTACAATACACAAGATGCACATATATAAATATAATTATATGGTGAAGAAAGGAAATAAATTCATTAACATTCTACCAAGCTGTCCACATCATATATCAGCTATGATATATCAACTTATATCACAGTTAACATATTATACAGATATTATATATTATTGGTAATTATCACTGGAATTATTTTCCGAAACCCAAATTTCTGCCACCAAAACCGAAATTATGGTAGCCAAAACCGAAACGTGGATTGAAACCAAAGGGACCTCTGCCAAAGTAGTTATCATCGTCAAATTCATAAAAGTCATCTATGTCATCATACAGGTCATCGTACAGGTCATCGTCATACAAATCATCGAATCTATCATACAGGCCATCGTCGAATCTATCATCGTCTCCATAAAACCTAAAACCTACAAAACATAAAAGACTAGAAGTTAAAGATTACATAGTCGACATTTTCCGTAATTGAACTTTAAGATATCAGCTCATTACGCGCATACATGGACAATTAATCAACGTTTGTGGGGGCGGGGGCGGGGGCGGGGGGTACCACCGAATGGTTAGCATGTTCGCGTTGTATCGTAAGGTCTGTCATTGAGTCAACGGGTGTGGTTTCGATTCCCAGGTTGTACGTGGCAAGGAGTAGGATCGCCTGTCCAACCTGGTGGGTTTTCTCCGGGTCGTCCGATTTCCTCTCACTGCTACGCGCTAGCGAATTATTGAAATAAAATTGAACCATAAGTTAGTCCTAACCGTGCTATTACAGACGGCAGCGGTTCTTATAAATGCATGCTAACATGTATATCACACCTCGTATTTTCGTCCCATCGGAAGTGCTAGACACTGTTCCTTGTCAGACCCTGTATAATGAAACACGTACAAGGGGTCACCACGACGCAAAACCCCGAAGAACTTTCTAAGCCAATACCAAGACTCCCTAATTAACAATCATAACACATTCAATATAAAGAGTAGTCTCGAGTATTCAGCCGGTTCCGTTATCATTTACGTTAGACTACTGTCCGACGAATTACGCCAGGTCATCATTTAGCGTTAGTCAAGGATACACAGAAACAACAAAATATGTACCCGTATATCATCAATTGACTAGAACGCATGTAATCGTAACGTTTAGGATTTAGATGACAACGAAAACTCTTCATTAATCCATTAAAATTACCAACCTTGACCTTGATACACAAACACGACACAATAAGTATTTATTCATGTAATTGTAACGTTTGGGATTTAGAGGAAATCCTACATTAATGCATTAAAAGAACCAACCTTGACCTTGGATAACACAAACAAGAGCTAGAACAAGGAATATGGTTAGAATATTGAGGACTGCAGCCATCTTTAAATATCTGAAATGAAATACAATTAGACCTATTATCTGAAAAAAAATACCAGTAGACCTATTATATGTTGTATGAATTGTCTTCGGGAGACTTAAAGACGAAATTCGCCACTGTCCGGGCAACATTTTCTTCATAGCACACTGTATGGCGTATGCCCGTCTTTATTGGTCCAGTCGGCGCATAACGTCTATTTGTAACGTCTAATGGCTGAAAAGTTCTAACCATGAAACGGATTCTTCAACTGACTTCGCCACCAACAAGTACAATCATTAAATGAATCATTGACACCCTGGAACCGCAACTGTAGATTTGTTATTGTCTTTGTATCAGACCAACGTGTGCATCTAGCCATTGACATCACCGGAAATGGACAAACCTAACCCCAGCACACAGATACATGATGACATCGTCTCCACGTTAGGGTATGAATTGGTGCCCCTTCATTTTCCACAGTAAAGAAGTGGGCTGTAGAATTTAAACGAGGCAGAGGAGCCTTGACGCGATCGCCCAATTGTAAAATATTATCCAGTTGCACTTACTTGAGAGGTATATACCGTTGAAGAGATGAGATATTGGATGAAATCTAGTGGACATTCTTGGTATTTATATACCATCTGAAAATATGTTTACAAATAAACAAAGTTCAGTAGTCCTTCGTTATTTATTTGTTTGTTTGTTTCTTTCGATATGAGCGAAGAAAAAATTGTATTATTCTTCTTGATCTATATGTTTACCAAGATTACAACAACAACCAGGTTTATTTATATCACACCTACACTATATATATATATAATACAGGTATTAGAGTAATGTATATACTAACCGCCATTAAACATGATTGATGTTGGTCAGGGCGGAAACTGTCCTTTCATATAACACGATCATACACTGTAACCCAGGTATAATTTCATCTTGTGTATCTAGCACTAATTTCTTTCACATTCGTTTAATAGCCAATCTTTGTTTAAAAATTCATAAAAACTGTTTAAAATCACCATAAATTATCCAATTTGTACTTCTGTCCAGTTTAAAGCTGACCATTCAATTTTGATAATGAGTGTCCAATTTACAAGTGTTTAATTTCTCAATCACTGTTAAAAAATAAACAACCCAATTGATTAATGATGTATAATGATTAATTTTTGAACAGTGGTCAGGAAATTAAACACTCATTATCAAAAATTAATCAGTCAGCTTTTAACTGAACACTAATACAAATTAGATGATTTTTGGTGATTTTAAACGATTTTTACGAATTTTTAAACAAAGAATTGATATTAAAGAAATTAGTGCTAGATACCTGGGTTACAGTGATACGTTAAATGAACATTATGGTAGATTAGATAAAGATTTGACACTTCTCGCCATAATACTTAGAAAATAGATAACGTAAATAGAATATGATATTCTGAAAATTTCAAGCAAATTGATCCCCTCTGAACCATGATATTAGGTGTTAAATTTTGGGCTAGCCTCGATCATCATTACTAAAGACGGTACGATAAAATTCAAAGTCTCAATTATCCACTTTTACGTTTGATTTTCATTCACAAAATATATTCCAATCCGCTTAATATCGCAGGCTAGCGATGACATCGAGAGTTGCTTATTGTTTGGATCAGTTAATTAATGTCTAATTAATAATTTAGATAACATTTCAGGCCTAAAGAAAGACATGCAATAAGCGGATTTATTAGTTGTTGTATAATGTATGTTTAATAGGGACCGTCTTCTTATTGTTTCTTGTGAGGCAGGGCAAGTTTAGACCTGTGAGTATCAGTATACCCATACGAATACTAATACAAGTATACAACCAAATAATACTTTGTCGTTCCTTGTTCTCGACTTGTATTGAACAAATTTCCAACCAAAGAGAATTGTCGCTTAAAGATACATATATCAACAAAAGAATCGACGCAAATAGAATCAATTTTAAAGTCAAGTCACTAGGTAAGTTTAGGCTACATTCGCGTGCACCACATTTATCCATGTATGGAAATTTACTCATGTACATAATAGCGCATGTGTAATAATATTTTTACTCTACGTTCGTCCTAGTTCTATCAAGGCGGGTGTGTGTGTGTGTGTGTGGGGGGGGGGGGGCACGACGGATAAGTGGGTAAGACGCTGGCTCGCTAGCCTGGAGGTCGAGTGTTCGATCCCTGCATTGGCCGAGAAAGTTAATCCCTATTTTCCAGTGTGATTCCCCCCATTGTCAGTGACGCAGGGCGGGGGGCCTGATAAGGACAGCTGTCTAGTCGTTCGGATGGGACAAAAACAAAGGCCTTCTGTACACATTGTCGTGCACGTAAAAGATCCCTTGACAGTAGGAATTCGATATAAGAGTAGGCCGTAGTGGCACTGTCCAGGCAACATTTCCCGTCATCATCAGCCCAGTTCGGAGCAGAACAGTAGGTCGTTAAACTCCATTTCATTTCAATCTAGGGGTACTTTGAAATATGCCAATTCGTTGTTGCTATTTCATAATGGGTAGTCTATTATTATACCGAAGGATAAGATGTCCCTTCCCAATGAAGTCATGGTGTAGGGGCCATAGAAAATATGATTGTCTGTCTTCATTAGCCCGGTCGGTGCAAGACGTTAAACCCCATTTTACCACCAACTTGTTTACGATTATTGACCGTTGATGTCATATTATATAATGTTCATCATCGCTTTAATTCTCTATACATTTGACAATAAACAATAAAACCTTTCATTATTCGTTCAAGGGCCAATCCCGATAATATTTTGGAGTATGAAACTGCCTATTTTTGTGTTAAAATCCCTTAAAATCATCTACCTTAGGGCAAAGCAACAAACTCAATATATGTGATATGTTTTCAAACAACGTAAACCCGCCATTCCTCATATGAAAAAGAAGACCAGTGCCCCAAGCTGTATTATGCGGTGTCTGGATAAAACCGGATTTTTATTTTATAAAAATAATGTGTAGGTGAAATTTGCCTTTCGTTATCAAGTACAACGCATGGGTCATTCACTGTATAGACCACTAAAGGAACGGGAATCGATTATCAGGTCACCCAACGAAAGAATTGATCCGAAATCTTAAAAGGGTTACGTGTTAGGATAAGCAGTTTTGACGTTCACGTCCAAACGACTCAATATTTTGAGCTGAAATTTTGAGACAGGGTACATACCTTATCCCTCTATGTTTTGGCGCTAAATTTCATTGGAATGCACGTAACAGATCCCTTGGCAGTTGGAATTCGATATAAGAGTAGGCGATAGTGCGGCTGCCTGGGCATAATTTCCTTCATAGCACACTGTATGGCGTATGCCCGTCTTAATTAGCCCAGTATAGGAGCAGAACAGTAGGACGTTAAACCCCATTTCATTTCATTTCATTTCTAATTAATAATAGTTTCACGTGACCATTGAAGTTGATTGGACTCATTATTATTTACTGTATTAAACATACATTATGCAAGAGCTAAATCTGCCTATTGCAGGTCTTTCTTTAGGCTTGAAATGTTATCTAAATTATTAACTAGGCATTAATTAACTTGTCCAGACTCGATACCCTTGCTAGCCTGCGATATTTAGCGGATTGGAATACACTTTGTGAATGATAATTAAACGTAAAAGTGGATAATTGAGACTTTGTATTTTATCGTACGGCGATATTTACTGGATTAGGGTCCAATCTGCTGCTCATTGATGTTTAAATAAAAAAATGGACAATCGAGACTAAATGTTTGGTTCAGAGAGGATCAATTTGACTGAAATTTTTAGCAAATTCCCTTTACATTATCTAGTTTTTAACTATTATAGTGAGAACTGCCAGCTCTTTATCTAATCTCTCATAATGTATCTTTCTTTCACGTAGCCATTGAATATATGTAGACTTATTATGGTGGAATAAATCCTGTAACTTCATTCAATACACCGTTATCAATAATATGATTAAATTTGTCCACTGGTTCGTGTTGTTATTCAGCGGAATAAACATAAAACATGGCGGATTCTATGAACGTTATCAAGCGAGAGAGAGAGAAATGGGGTTTAACGTCCACTCGACACAAACTAGGTCATTTCGGGACAAACATATGGTTTAATTTTTTATTTCAATAATTCGCTTGCGCGTAGGGGTCTTTAGCAGTGGGAGGAAACCTGAGGACCCGGAGAAAACCCACGAGGTTGGACAGGCGACCCTACTCCTTGTCACGTACAACCAGGGATTCAAAACCACGCCAGTTGACTCAGTGACAGTCTTTACGATACAGCACGCACGTGCTAACCATTCGGCCATCCACCCCCACCCCCTTGAGATAAACAGCTGTCGATTCTATGCGTGTACGTGACAATGAGTAGGGGCGCCTGTCCAACCTCGTGGGTTTTCTCCGGGTCCTCCGGTTTCCTCCCACTGCTAAAGACCCATACGCGCAAGCGAATTAGTGTTAGTCCCGAAATGACCTAGTTTGTGTCGAGTCGACGTTAAATCATCTCTCTCTCTCACTCTCTCTCTCTCTGAAAGCCCCACCACAAATTATTTTAGGAGGTTTTCTGGTACCAACTTTTAGATGACCTTTCGACGTGAAAATTCACATTTCAAAATGCGATGAATTCCCCACAAAAACTTCGTTCGAGAGCGAATATCGATGGCGTCACGGGTTTATAACGTTTCACGTTTTTCCCCCTCAAGTAATCACGCACGTTTGACACCCATATTGACCTAGAAAGTTTAATTTACCGGAATGACCTTGGACAACGTATACTAGTTCGGGTGGGACGTAAACGAATCCTTGGCAGGTCGAATTTAATATAAGAGTAGGCCGTAACCGCGTTGCCCGGAAACAATTCCCCTCATAGGACACGATATGGCGTATGCCGTCTTCTTTAGCCCAGTCAGACGTTAAACACATTTCATTTACCTTACAACTTGGTAAACGTGCCTTTCGTATGCTGGACCTTTTCTATGGAAGAAAAAAACTTCGGCGGAGAGAGAGAAGAGAGAACGAGTTCCCAAATCCTGCCACATAATCACATCAACCGAGAATATTTGCTGGCTACTGGGGCATTGACTGACTACTGGGGTATTTGCTGTGACCGAACGCTATACATTTTATTGTATAATCAAAAGTATTGAAAGACGACGGATGTATCGAATTGTATGTTCCTTTATATTAATCTGTATTATATATACTTGTTTTTATTGAGTATCAACTACTTTCGCTTTCGCTTTGTCGTCTCTGAATTATTATATTTCATATATCAATCGATGCATAACAGATGATGATGTAAAGGTATCTTGTATTATTGATATAGCATGACATGGTGATCAATCAGGGAAAAGTAAAAGATGCATATTTCGTAAGATTTAGATAAAGAGCTGACAGTTCTCGCAATAATAGTTTTAAAAATAGATAATGAAAGGAGAATATGTTGACAATTTTAGTGAAATTACTTCATTCTGTGAGGAGTTATCGTCGTTTACAGAATAGCGTAATCTCGATTGTCATTTTTAAATTAAATAATAAATTTGTTGAAAATCAAAACCATTCGAAGTTCTAGAGAGTTGATTATGTGCCTGGTATGTAAATAAATGTCGCATAAATGATGTATATCATATCTGCGGTCACAGGAAAGTAAACAAAAACTGAAAGTAGTTTATTAATCTCAATATTTAGGAGAGCGATTTAGCTAATTTGCAGGAGTCTTTAATGACTCCTTCCAAGGAGCAGGAACAAAAGCTCCCCTTAAACGCCGAAATCCCAAAATAAATAGTTGATAAATATTAATTAATCGCACATTTAATTTTTTAAAAAGTATCGAGCAATCAAACTATACTCTAACCTCTATCAGACAGAATCAAGATCATCTTGTCCCAAAGCATCGACCAATGAAATTGATTAGCTCTGCTTAGCTTCAGCTTGAAATGTTAATCATTGAACTCAGTCAAGACATTCACCTAATGAACATCTACATCATTCTACATCAATTAAAAGCAGAGCGTACGTAACTAACGTACGAAAATTAAATGGTAGCTGGCTTTTTTTTCGCACGTATACAGTGAATGGCCATTTTGCTCAGTAATCCCAGCCAGAATTTGGCTATTTTTTTAAAATTGCGTTAAAGTTTTAAATTTTTGTTTAGAACTGAAATAAATTAACTTTTAGTCAATCCCCACGCTAAAAACATTAACAGAATTGATTGTGTATATCTGAAATAGACACGACCGAAGCACAAAATAGTGCCAATATGCCGACGTCAAATCTGGATGGTAGATGATGTTATTTTTGTGAAAAATCATTGGAAGAAGCGATAAGACGTTCTGTACGGATTATACAGTCCTAAAGGCTGCAAGAAGGCTATTGTTTACAATGTAACATTGTGTCTTGTAATGTTGATAATGATCATAATGATGGTGTTTACATTTGTTTTTTGATGTAACCTCATGACCTGTGACGTTTAGATACCGTCATACGGATATCATGGCTATTCACTGTGCCAGAGTCACTTCTCTGCAGGTAGGGTGAGTCTGTCGTTCAGATTGAAAGCAGAGTTGTTATGTTCTAAAGGCTTGACCAATCAAATTACTTATCGCTCCTTAGCCTAAGCAGAAAATTCTCACCATCGAACTTAGTCAAGGTAATGATATAATGAATCTATATTCGGAGTTTCATCGTTCTCACTTCATTATAGCCAGAATTATCGTGCCACAAAGCCTCCATCGATCAGATTGCTTATCCCTGCTTACCGTAAGCAGACATTGTTAATCATCAAACTCCTTCAAGGCATTCACCTAATGCACGCCTACACCAATTTTGAACATTCTAGCTCAATTAGAAGGAGAGTTATTGTGTCCCAAAAAGTGGGGCGGACAGACAGACACACAGACGGACAGACGGACCTATTTTAATAGTCCCCTGCTTTCTTCCTTATAACGAATGGAGATAAATATATATATATAATGTTATGTGTAGATACGTTTCCATGCATTTTGAAACGATCAACACGATTGCTACGACGTAGATATCTAACATAGTTCAAGCAAGAGATTCGCCTGTAAAAAATATATACAAAATATTTCAATACTACGTAGTGATTTACCCGGAAGTCGTCCTCATTACACCAGCAATGGGGAATGTTCGCTCTTCATCTTCTTGATAAAACTAGTCTACGAAATAATCACAAGTCGTACTACAGGGGAAATAACCACTTGTACTCAGTACGCGGGAAATAACTACTTGTCGTGAGGCACGGTGTCCAGGATAAACACATCACAGAAATCATAAAGGAATGTTGAATGAATACAAATGATATTTAAAAAAAAATGTAGGTCAGTCTTAATCGTTATGTGTTTTGAACAAGGTTCTTGGTATTGTCATTGAAAAAAGAAACAGCTCAATTGATAACATTTTACGATGTTGTAATTTTACCATGTCCTCGTTATGAATATCTGACTACAGTATGTTATAATTTTACCATGTCCTCGTTATGAATATCTGACTACAGTGTGTTGTAATTTTAATAGAAATGACTAAAAATCGTCTGAATCCTTGGAATTTCTACATCACCGGGGGTGGGATGGAGTTTGGCCGAAATGAAATGGAGTTTAACGTACGAATATCCTGCTCCGACGCGCATGCAATTAACTGAAATAAAATTGAATCATAGGTTAGTCCCGAAATGGCCTAGTTTGTGTTGATTGGACGTTAAACCCCATTTCTCTCATTCTTTCTCCATCTTGAATCAAGTTCTGTCAACGATGGTGTAATATGAATATTCTGGTGCCTCCACTAATCCTTGTTTTGTTACATAATCATAGAGATGACACGTGCCTGTCGTCCATTCAAACACAAACGATCTGCACAAAGTGAAAGTAGAACACAGACTTCCGCAACGTTTCTTGTTACTCCCAACAGTCGAGTATATAACACTGCCATTCGGCTTCTTGTTGGTTGCTGACTTTCTGAAATATACTCCCGTTTCCACAGATCTTGCTGGACACGGTGGAGCTGAAATCATAATAAGATAACAGTTAAATACATGATATAGTCTCAGCTTTTGCTAGACACGGTGGAGCTGAAATCATAACAAGATAACAGTTGAATACATGAAATAGGCTCCTTTTCCTCATATTTTGTGTTGCACGGTGGAGTTGAAATATTTATAAGATTACAGTTGAACAACACATCAAATAGACCCCCTTTTCACAAAGTTTGATAAATACATATGTTTTATTTGTATTCTCCATTGTTCGTATATGAGTGAATTTAAAACGAAAATTTAATTTTTTTATGAAATACTGTGGGAATAACAGGAAAAGGGGTCTACGTTCAAGGATAGATTCTATGTCTAAAACCACGTGATCGGAAAGTTACCATTTCATATTTGGCATGAGTGACCAATCATATGATTAATTACATCATAATTAGCCAATAGAATAAATAATGGCTGTGAATCTGAGAGAATATAATTTATAAAATGTGCGCTCTAGGATAGACATCATGAATATTTGAAAGGGGAAACATCATGTAGAAATTCGTTGAGGTTCGAGGGACAACATCTGGATTGATGGACACAGGGGTTGACTTTATTATAATCTATGCTTGTAACTGTGTAACCCTTCTGTCCCTGTCATCTTGTATGTTAATCACAATATTTTAGATGCAATTTATTCAATTACAACGTGAAATCGTCATTAATGTGGAATGTCAGAATGGCATTTAAAGATACGTCCTAACCAGTTAAAGAATTACAAATGCAACCAGCGACAATACTAGACGATCAATGCAGGAATCGAATTTGCGACCTCCAGGCTAGCCAGTCAGCGTCTTACCCACTTAACCACTGTGATTCCACATAATGGATACCCCCAGCACTACGGATATAATATTATTAACGAAATCGATGTAGCGGATTATTTAATACTACAAATAATAGACATGTGGTATTATCTGTAAATATTATTCATAATTGTTATTCTGCAATCATGTCATATATTTAAACAGATCATAATCGTCGGAAGCTGCCATGAAATGAAATGAAATGGGGTTTAACGTCCTACTGTTCTGCTCCGACTGGGCCAATGAAGACGGGTATACGCCATGCAGTGTGCTATGAGGGAAATTTTGCCTGGGCATAATTTTAGGGTAAAATAACCAAAATATTTTTAACAGTGTATATCGAATTCCATCTGCCAAGGGATGTTTTACGTGCACGCCAATGTGACTTCGTCTCATCCGAACGACTAGACATCTGTCCTTGTCAGTTTCTCCGTCTGCGAGGATAACTAGCACTCTACTCGTCTATAACTGCCTGTAAATCTTGATGATAATTATAATTCTGTAATCATGTAACGTTCTCCTGTAAACATTATAGTATTATTTTTACCACCTGAACTACAATACCCACAATCAATAATAGAAAATCCTGTTGGGATAATAAACACACAGATTTCATCGTCCTTTTGTCAAACAATAATCAGATACTTTATAATCTATTCATGAGATACACAGCGGTTGTGGGGTTGGGATGACCTTGTGGTGTACAGTGTTTTGCTTCGGCCTCAAGCTGGTCGGTCACTCCCAGGCTTGTGGTTGTGGTTTCGATCCCTGCTGTGGACGTATTTGGCTTGCATGGAGATAGGAGCGCCTTCTCAATCTCGTGGTACTCCGGTTTCCTTCCACAGGAAAGACCCCGGCGCGTGCGCTAAGATCATTAAAATGAAAAATAAGCGGACGGTTGTGGTGCCCTAGTGGGCTACTAGAGTGTTGCTCTTCAGCTCTAACTGACCGACCACCTTCATCTCGCGGCCCTGGTTTCGACCCCTGGTTTAAGCATATGTGGCACCTCCCCAACATCGTGGGTTTACTCCAGGTACTCCGACTCTCACCCACAGTAAAGACCCTTGCGCTGGCACTAAGAAAATGAAATATACCATGAAATGGCGGGAAAGTGGGTATTAGAGAGGGAGAGGAATTTGATTTAACGTCCCCTCGACATAAAAGAGGTCATTTCGGGACTAACACATGGTTCAATTTTATATCAATAATTCTCTTCCGCGTAGGGGTCTTTAGCAGTGGGAGGAAACCGGGTTTAACGACCACTCGACACAAACTAGGTCATTTCTCGACTAACATATTGTTAATTGTATTTCATTAATTCGCTTGCTCGTAGGGGTCTTTAGCAGTGGGAGGAAACCGGAGGACCCGGAGAAAACCCACGAGGTTGGACAGGCGCCCGTATCCTTGTCATGTACAACTGGGGAATCGAAACCACACCAGTTGACTCAATGACAGACATTATGATGCAGCGCGCACGTGCTAACCATCCAACCCACCAATGCGTATTAGAGTTTGAAGAACTCGAGTTTTAAAAAGAAAATACTAAAATGATGCCCGAGTTATTATCCATAAACACATGTACGTTAATGGTTAACTCGGTGTACAAGTTAAATATACATTATGTAAGAGTTAAATGAGCCTATTACAGGTCCCTCGGTTGCCAAGTACCTTTGTTACGATATTAAACGAACTACCATACTTCTTCAAACATTCAAAACTTTGACAAGATAAAGCAATTTGATATGGGTGGACTAATCAATATTTTCATGTTTCATGATCTATTTTTGAACTAAAATAGAAAAAACGATGCTCTTTATCTAAATCTTATATAAAACATCATAAAGGGTCCGGAGTGATTATATGGAATATACGACAATTTCGTAATAAAATATGACCCCTCAAATGTTCAAAGATACACAGGACTAGACCGGCATCTCAGTGCGGAAGGGGGAGGGGTGTCCATCAAATGAGCACAAACCCAGACCCAACTGTTCTAGAGTATAAGTTTGCGTAGAATACAATGCCGAGAGGTAATCATTCCGCCGTTGGAGCGTTTTCGAGATATTCGGGGTCAAAAGTTAATGCGCAGTGATTCTTGTATCATGAAAACATGCTGAAAATGATCAAAAGTAATCAACCTTTCAATAAAAATATAAACTTGCTAAATTTACCTTTGTTCTTTGTGACCCTGGAGATCAAAGGGTCATTTTTTGCGTTTTTGCACTAGGAAGATTTAAAGCAATACATGTCAGCGTAAAATATAAAATCTAAAGCGAAACTTTTTCTAATTAATAATAGGAACATTTAAGATTTATCCTAAGGTCGTCTTAGCACCGTACATTTACATTGGAACGTCGAAAGAGATCTTGCATAACAGAACCAAAACACCCCGAAACCTGTTCCAAAGATACGTAAAAACTGTCAAATCGAAATCTCTCCGATTTAGTTTAACAGCGATTGTTATACATAATGAATATAGTTCTCCGAATAACAATTGAATAATTTCATGGTTGCCAAAAGCTGAACCAACATAATCCATTAGCTGGAATTATATTTAGATAGTTTACCTCAACGACCATAGTGGGGGGGGGGGGAGTTGGATGGCCGAATGGTTAGCACGTGCGCGCTGTCTCATAAGGCCTGTCATTGAGCCAACTGGCGTGGTTTCGAATCCCCGGTTGTACGTGACAAGGAGTAGGGTACAGTAGGGTAGCACGCAGCACTGTACAGTCGACCGTTAAAGCTCTACTCCGATTATAAAACTAAAAAACTAATTAAATTAGTTGATGTCCGTTGGTACACTGTAAAAATATTCATTTTTTAATTTATGTAGCCGAATTCTGTAATTTAACACTTTATTTTCTGTTAATCGATGGAGAAATTGTGTTAAAAGTTTGAATTATTTCTTCAAATTAGGTGTTTTATATATTTCTATGGAATATTCAGTATCAAACAGGAAATTTCCGTGAATTTTAGGGATATTGAAATTGAAAGAAATAAGTTCGTTGAGGTGAAGTGTACTTACAAGTAACACGTGTAAATGCCATGTTTAAAACATGTAATATCCTCGTTTTGTTTACGGATGTGGATGGCTTGTTTAATGTCCTCTGTATACTAGACGGGTACATTATGATCAATATTTCTTTAGAAGAAAATGATAATATTTATCAAACTTGAATCTGTTTATCTGCCGTCGTCGATATTTGACTTCTTCATCACTATTGTTGTTATTATCAGGTATCGGGTATCTTATAGAAGCATTATGTAAGGACTATATCTGGGTATTACAGGTGTAAAGATGCATTATGTAAGAGTA